CCCCCCCCCCCCCCCCCCCCAAAAGACAGATTCATGTCAAACCAAACCCTTTTAGTCCAATCACACACCAAACAAAATATGCTCAATAGATTTGGGGAATAACTTACATAAAGGACAGCAAGGCAAGGGTGCACACTTCCTTTTAAACAAATTCTCCTTCGAGGCCAAAATATTGTAACGGGCCCTCCACCCAAAATGCTTTACCTTTGGTAAGGCCTTCATGTTCCAAATAACCTGCCAAAGCTTGGGATGAAGGGAAGCAGACGAGCTGCATTTCATTTGATTCCCCTCACTCTTATTGCCCCATCCTATACCTTGATTTGACAATGTAAAACCCCTTACAATTAGGCCACCAAACCCTTTTGTCTTTGTCTCCTCTAATCGTCAATGGAATGGCATTAATAACATTGATATCCTTCCTTAACTTTGGATAGTCTATGCCGATATAGTCATTCACTATGAGCCTTCCATATAAACCAACATACATAAGCTAGCAGAGATTGCCCCTCCTTCATTATGTGTTAAGCCCTCGTCCCTTTCTTTTTGGAGTTGGTCCCTCAATTAGCTTTCAATCCTTTTCACTTTGTATCTATCAATATGGATCAACAGTGGAGATGCCCTCCGTACAAGGCCTGTCAAAATTAGACACAACAAGATTAATCGATACAAATCGACACGAATTAAGCAGATTTGGGTGAGACCTTAACAGATTTGGGTGATAAACGAGTTGACACGTCAAACATGTTTAATAAACGGGTCATGTTCGAATGAGACCTGTCAAACTGTTTATCACCCGTTTAAATAAATCTAATATAATAATAAATGAGTAAAGAAAAAAAAGTAAAAAAATATTTCAAAAAAAAAGTAAAGAAATCAGTTAAAAAAAAAAATAAGAAACAAAAGCTTTAAGCCGTTGAAGCATTAATCTGCTCTTTTTTTGAATCCCACGTCGACAGGGGGAGTGGAGAGAAAGGACTTAGTTGCTTATAAAAGAGGTAGTGGATGTTGGCTTAACAGGTGGACTGTGGTGTGGCTTAACATGGCTAAACATTGTGGTGTGGTTTGTCGTGTGGCTGACCATTGTTGGCTGTAACTTTTTTAATTGAGGAAAGTATGGTTGGGAAAAAAAAAATTGAAAGTGTAAAAATTTGTTAAAATAATATTTTTTTTGGTTATTTTTAAATAGATTAAATGGGTCGTATCGTGTTATCTGTTTATTAAACGTGTCGTGTTCGTGTTAAATTTTTTTACCCGTTTATTAAACGTGTTGTATATGGGTTCACATATTTTTTATCCGTCACCTGTTTAACCCGACACGTTTAACACCCTTACTCCGTACCTCACTTGCCCAAGTGTATAATAACAGTAAATATTCAATGGTCCCTCCCCCTCCCCCCCCATATTGGGCATAGGGGAGAATTTGATAGTTTCTTTTTTTCATTCGTTCCCGTTTAGTTGCCAGTGCCCCCCTTAGCCACCTTACACATAAATATCTTGATCTTTTGCCATGCAACTAGATGCTATATCATTTTCCAAAAGTTCTTGTGGGGTTCCATAGGATGATGAAGCAGGTAAGTTTTTGTGCCCATCATCTGTGCAACTCAATTGTAGGTAATCATATCCACTCTTCACTCAGTACCACTCATTCCTTGAATGTGCCCATTTCACCCTATCCATTTGTTGAGTTTCACTAAGGGGGATTGTCATAATATTTCTAGCAATATCATATTGGAAAGAAAACAAACCAGATTTGTATTCCATATTTTTGTTAGAGACTTGAATGAACTCTTGTACGCTTCTAACACTGTTGTTTTGAGTATTAGCAATTTGTTTATATTCAGATACCCTGTTATCCTCCTAGCAATTGATTTGGCTTCCATCCCCTATCTGTCAGTAATAGCCTTTTTGTAGCAAATCCCTTCCTTCCATTACACTTTTTCAAATCCAAGAGATCGCAGCTTTAGGCTTTGCTTGCCACATAGATCCCTGTGTAAAATACTTTGCCTTTAGAGTTTGAACCCATAGTGCTCCTAGGTTTTCTAGCATCCTCCCAGGCTTGCTTTGCTAGCATAGCTTTATTGATGCTCTCTAATATTTGATAATTAGAATCATTGATTTCACTGTAAATCCCAGTATTTATTGGGATTCATTACCTATTCAATAGTTGAGATTATCAAGTCTAATTTTTAAGTCAATCTAGCATTACTCTTTAATATTAGTTGGTGATATTACATCAACATTACTAATCTGATATCACTGTTATATTCAATATTTTTTGAAGAGAAATGAAAGTAAATATTTGGTGTAACCATCCAATTAAAAAAGAAAAAAAAAAAGTAAAACATGACTAACTTCTCATCATGGGGGCGATTATGAATGATATGGTTGAGTAGTTATGAGTTTTGTAAAAACATATTTACTAATTTGTTTACTTATTAGTAAACCATTACACTACATAACAATAACAATGTTAATATGGTATAATAATTACACCCACTATTCTCTTGAAAAAATATTGCACCCGGTATTATCATCGTCTAATAATAAATAAATAAATTTATAAAATAAACTCTACAAAATTTATAATCACTCAATAATATAATAAATAATTATATTCATAATAAAAAATAATCTCATTTTATTTATTATATATATATTTATTTAAAAATAAAACCATTACACCCGATATTTACTAATCAATTGGAGTGGGAAAATTACATATAGCCGGGCGGAGCTTCTCGCTATTTGGGTGAACAAATGGGGAAGGAAGGAGATCTCTGGGACGATTCCGCTCTCATCAACGCCTTCGACCACGCCTTCTCTAACTTCAAGGTCTCTCTCTCTCTCTCTCCGCAACATTAAACTATATTATTCTGTGTGTAAAACTCCAGGTTTTTCGGTTTTCACCTCTCATAATATTAACCTAATCTTAATAATTTAATATATATATATATATATATATGTGTGTGTGTGTGTGTGTGTGTGTGTGTGTGTGNATTACACTTTTTCAAATCCAAGAGATCGCAGCTTTAGGCTTTGCTTGCCACATAGATCCCTGTGTAAAATACTTTGCCTTTAGAGTTTGAACCCATAGTGCTCCTAGGTTTTCTAGCATCCTCCCAGGCTTGCTTTGCTAGCATAGCTTTATTGATGCTCTCTAATATTTGATAATTAGAATCATTGATTTCACTGTAAATCCCAGTATTTATTGGGATTCATTACCTATTCAATAGTTGAGATTATCAAGTCTAATTTTTAAGTCAATCTAGCATTACTCTTTAATATTAGTTGGTGATATTACATCAACATTACTAATCTGATATCACTGTTATATTCAATATTTTTTGAAGAGAAATGAAAGTAAATATTTGGTGTAACCATCCAATTAAAAAAGAAAAAAAAAAAGTAAAACATGACTAACTTCTCATCATGGGGGCGATTATGAATGATATGGTTGAGTAGTTATGAGTTTTGTAAAAACATATTTACTAATTTGTTTACTTATTAGTAAACCATTACACTACATAACAATAACAATGTTAATATGGTATAATAATTACACCCACTATTCTCTTGAAAAAATATTGCACCCGGTATTATCATCGTCTAATAATAAATAAATAAATTTATAAAATAAACTCTACAAAATTTATAATCACTCAATAATATAATAAATAATTATATTCATAATAAAAAATAATCTCATTTTATTTATTATATATATATTTATTTAAAAATAAAACCATTACACCCGATATTTACTAATCAATTGGAGTGGGAAAATTACATATAGCCGGGCGGAGCTTCTCGCTATTTGGGTGAACAAATGGGGAAGGAAGGAGATCTCTGGGACGATTCCGCTCTCATCAACGCCTTCGACCACGCCTTCTCTAACTTCAAGGTCTCTCTCTCTCTCTCTCCGCAACATTAAACTATATTATTCTGTGTGTAAAACTCCAGGTTTTTCGGTTTTCACCTCTCATAATATTAACCTAATCTTAATAATTTAATATATATATATATATATATATGTGTGTGTGTGTGTGTGTGTGTGTGTGTGTGTGCGTGCGTACATACGTATGCGCAGATAAAAATTTATGTGTCATTGTCAATGTGCATGACATATAGTAGGAGCTCAAAATTTAATGTTATATATATCTGCTACTATGTATGAATGTGTTTGAATCGATAATTGGGCACTACTTGTATGGTGTAAAAGTGGACCAGGACGCGGAACTTTTTGTAGCAACTAGCAATGATGTGAAAACGGAGGCACTTTGAGCACAGGGTCTTTGGAATAGCAAGCAAGTCTCATGACCCTGTGTAGGTCGTGCATTTAGCATACTGTTTTTGCTGATATGCGTTATTTTTCTGGCTGAACAAGTCCTTTTTTTTCTTATATATAATAGGATTGGAGTGAACAAGTGTTTATAATTTCGTTAACTCTGGTATTTTTGGATTACAATGAAGCAGATGACATGGGTTCAAACTCATTTGTATTTGGGAAAGGAAATTATTTATGATTCCTTGGCTTGTAGTCAAACTCAACTTCTTTGACCTTGGAGTGCTACTAAGTATTAGAGTGGAATCCTGCCGTTTTGGTAATCTTGTTGATTCTCTCATATCCACTATATTGGCAGATTTCAATCTCCCTCTTCACTTAATATATCCTGTTTGAGCTCAATATGAAGATTTCAAAATTAGGTTGTTGACTTTTTGGACATTAGGGAGAAAACAAGCAAATAACCTTCCCCATAAGTGGTACACCTCTGCCCTCATAACCTTTGAAACCCTTCGGGAATGAAAGGACCACATTGTGCATTCCGGAGATGCCAGCATTGCACTATGGGAAGTAGGGAACCCAGAGCATAACACCAATGCCTGGAAACTATATATTCTTGTTTCATTTGGATTTGCCGCTAAAGGCATATATGTTTTGATTGGAAAAAATATGAAACGCAGAATTACAAAACAGGATGTTTGGCTTGTAATGTAAAATGGATAAGTTGCTAGTATCATGTCAATCAGAGATGTAAGGCATACTGGGCCAGACTAAATTTTGACAGTAAGGTAATCTATATTTATATTGAAGCAATATAAATATTGAATAAACTATTCTTTGGATCTACAATTACTTGCATCTCATTTTCGGATGGACAGCTGGCATATGTTTTTCCAACATCCTCCCTCGTACTTCTCAGAAGATGCATAGCCAAGGAGGGCATGATAGCTCAGTTGAGGGAGGAAAAGTCATAATTTGTACAGAAGAAAATTTGTCAGCTGCTGTTGATGAAAGCCATGAAGCCAAAAGGTGAGCATGTTATTGGATCTATTTTTCACATCTTTGCTTTGTGGAGTTGAGAGACTTAATATCTGGTTATAGAAGAAGCTGCAATTGCTGTATGTTACGGTTCAAGAAAAATATCTTCTAAAATGGATAAAAATATTTCAATAGAAAAGTGGGGTACAACCCGTGGGCAGAAGCTGTATACAGTAGACACAAACAAAAAAGGAACATACGCTTGATACAACGGTTACCCTGACCCAAAAAAGTACTTGCAGATTCTCACCCAAGTCGCTGAAAAAATCAACAAAAGCATCCATGGAAAAAAGCCTGTCTCAGTCACCAATGAATCGGAAATGAAGATCAGTGACCAGAGATCTCAAATGATAAATCACGTTTAATGGGTTACTACCTCTTCTGTTTAGTTAAGCTATTACAAGATCCCATGAAGTGGGAGGAGGAGAGGTCATCACAAAACAGTGCGCACTTTTAAGTTTTTGGTTTATGGTGCCACCTTGTTTCTCGGGAGGTTTCGTAAGTGTCCTGGCATTATGTGGCAACCCAAACTGGCTGCACTAAATATCTCTCGGGGAAAGAAAAAAGGGATTGGGTAAACTCCAAAAATTGGAAGGCATCTTTTCTTACATCTAATGTCCCATAGTTCTTTTTTATTTCTGTTATGATTTACTTCTGGGACACAAGGTGACCATTAGATATTTATGCGGCCACAATTCAAAAGGGACCAAAACTTGGTGCTTTTGAGACATAGACAAGTTTTATTGAAAAGGTGTACGTCAAGTGCCATTCTTGAGCATACCTTGAATTTCTCCGAGTGTAAATTTCACTTGCCTAAAAATTGTTCTAGTTTCCTGCATGCCTTCCGCATGTCAAAAGACTGTGGAGTTGCTTTCTTTTAACTCTAACTGGAGAATTTTTACTGGATAGTAGCACTCACGATTTCTGGAAAGTATAGGTAAACAAGTATAGGATTGAACTTGTTCATTCTTTATCATCTATTTTGGTCTTGTACATTATTTTCTAAATTGTTGTGGCAGGCAGTCATTGTGTTTGCAACTAGCTTTCTGGCAATGATTATTTTCCTTCTATTTGTTGTCTTGCCTATAGGAATAATACATGAAACTAAATAAGGGTTCCTCACTAGTGGCTTTTCCCCAGTTATAGTTTCCTTCATGACTTTTTTATCTGCATGAAAACCACAGGAAAAGCATTTTCTCGAGCTTAAAAAACAAATAATTGTATAAGGTCTTTTGGTATCTAGCCATTGATTATTATGTTCCATGCTATTTGGGAGGACTTCATATCCAGAATTCATTACAGTCACAGTGCTAAGTTTGGTACCTCTTGTCCTTTGATGCAGACATATGGAGGAAGGCGATAACAGTAATGTTGCTTCAAATATCACAACAGAAATCGGAGATAATAATAATCTTTCACCAATCAAAGATGACCACTGTGTGGAATCATTTGCTCCTGAACCCCATATGGTGTCATTAAATGGTCAGCATGTGCAAGATGTGCTTAAAGGTTATTCAGATACACAAAGTGCAGACAATTATAACCAGTTAGTGTACAGATATTATGAACTTGAGGAGCAGAGGCAAAAGGTTCTTCAGCAACTCAGCCAGTTTGGCAATTGGGATTACCAGGGCTCTGGCTCTGGAGTACATTGGAGCAATTCCTCCACTTTTCAAGAGCATCAAGTCTCTGCAGCCCACGCATCTTACCCACCTCTCGTCTGTTCTTGTTTCTCATACGGGTGTCAGAGTTTGGTGGCTCCGTGCACTTCATTACCTGCTTGCACTCTCTGCAGACCTTGTGTTGATAAGACTTGTATTGCTGCTTCAGCAGTAGATTGCAATGGAACGTCATTTTCTCTTGAAGGTGGTGACTTTGTTACAACAGCTACCAGAACTGCCGAAAGAGCCCTTTCTTCCTTGAAGACAAAAGCTTCTGGCAGTTCTGATGTAAATAAAAATGAAGGTGAGCACACCTTTTCAAAAAACTCATACTGTATGTACAGATTGTTTTGGTACCGTCTATTGGCTTTTGCAAAGGTGTGAAAAATGGAGGGCATTGTCGTATAAATGCTTCAATTTTATAGTTTACTAATTAAGATTTCTTTCTTGTCCCAAATTTGACCCGTTGTGGTGATCCTAATTACCAGTTTAGCATAATGTGTATTTTCCTGATATATAAAATTAGATGAAATAAAATAAAAATTTTGAAAGGCTGATGTCAGTCAGATGATGATTGAGTTAACCATTTGACTATTTTACTGAAATCTTGTGATACATATTCAGGATTGTATGCATTTCTTAGGATTCTATAGATATGTGGCTAAAAAAGGTCTTGATGCTTTCACCTGTTTCTTCTTCTTTAACAAGTCTCTAATTCGTGTTGAATATGTTGCTGCCATCAATCGTAGTTGTGTCATTTATGATCTGAATATATCCAGTTTGAGGAAGAAGACCCATTCTGCTTTTATATCATTCATAGACGTTTATTTTTGTGAGTTTTGGGCATGCCTTCATATTGATGCCTTGAACTCAACTGTAGAGAGTCCTCCTTTCAAGGGCCTATGCTCTGTCCTAACCATTCTTTGCAAAATGCCCTATAGATTCTGCAAGGTATAGAAATGGAATGAAATATGGGGAATCATGTCAAAAGGATAATCAAAATAATAATAAATCACAAACCCTATGTACACTATTGTGCACAAATAATGCGAATATTTCGTATGAAGTTTTATGGTAAGTGTTAGATGGAAGCAGACTCTTGTTGGCATGAAGATATGAAGTCCTTGTTTCACTATGAGCTAGTGTCCTAACAACTTGAACCATGTAGGACCTATTATATTATAGGCTGTGCTGTGCTGCACTCCTGCTTTCTCTGTTACGTTACAGAATCCTATCAAGGGTAGTTAAAAGTGCAGGGTTCAAATACTGGTTGTGACATGGGCACAAGCAGAGGCAAAACCAGGATCTCAGCACTGTGTTTGTTTGCTTGTTTGTTTGTTTTGTTTGGGGTGTGGTGGAGGCAAATAAAACAGTACATGATGTATCACGTAGGATTGTTTGGAATATATGATAATATTACTAAATGCTTTAAGAGGAGTCATGTCATTGGTTTCCAATAAGTATTCACTAAACTTAAATTGCCCAAAAGTGACTTTGGTAACTCAGGGTGACGATGGCCCTCCTTTGTCTACATGTAGCTTCACCTCTAGGCGCATGTATTATGGGGGTGGCAGTGTCTTCAAACGTATTGCTCCAAAAGAAAGGAAATAGAACATCTTTTTTATGAGAAAAGGAAAGACAATAATTATAAATTGCAGCTTTAATATAGTCCTGGGCTAGCAGAAGTGAGCATTTATTGTGGAAAGTTCTTTTGGATATAATTCAATGGCACTTTTCAGTTATGCATCGTCATGTCATGGCATCATTCAATGTTGAGCTATATTATACTTGCCTCATGTGCACATTTCTACATGAAAATGTTTGCTACTTTATGATCATGGTGTTTTTGACTGCTGTTGCTTTTTTTTTTTTGTTGGGGGTGGGGGGGTGATAAGGTTGAAACCTGCAACCACCTACAGGCTGGAGTGAGCTGTTACCACTGAGCCACTCCCTCACCTGAAAAATTGTTGTTACTCTTTTTGCTGATTGATTTCTCAAAACATTATGATAAAAGTTTGCTGCAATTCATGTATAATCTAGTGCCTTATCATATCATCTATTTTTTTTGTGCACTACAGAGAAAGAGGAAGAGGGGGAGGCAAATGTAGGTCACTTGGCACAAAGTACTAGCACTGAAACAGATCTTGCTACGGTTTTAAATGCTTGGTATTTGGCAGGATTCCACACTGGCAAGTGAGTATGACTTTCAAGCCTCTTTCTTCGAGAAGATGACAATTAAGTTGTTGCTTTGTTCAAGAAAATGAAACCTAAATATGTTGCTTTCTTCAGAAATTACGTGCACTAAACACGAAACTGATCCAAACACTACAGTTTCTCCATTGCATCCAATCTCCTTATAAGCTGGTTGTCACAAATCACCATAGGCTTGTGAAGATGAATATTGAACAAATTTTAATCTGAGGTAATCATGCCAAATATTGGAGGACTTGCAATCGACGTTGATATTCCCTTTTATTTGTGTGGTGGTCGTGGTGATTTACATGAAATTTTATGAGAAATAAATCCCCTTAAATACTTGGTAAATATGTACACGCTCTTCCTGTATGTGCAAAAATATCTACATGTACAGTACAAGTTATGGTTTATAAGTCCAGATGAAGCAGATTGGATCCATTCACGACATTGGATTATGATTTCTTTGTGAAACATGCCACATTGCCACTGGCTTATCATTAACTGTTTTTTAGTGAATTTTATTTCGAGTAATTGCAGTCATTCTTTCGAAGCTTAAAAGGGGGAATTTTTTGCTGTCATTTAGGTACCTTTCAGAGCAGCCGTTTGCAACGAAAAGACTTGGCTAGGTCTTCTCCAAAATGTTAAGCAGAGGCAAATGGTAGTTCATTATATTTTACAAAAACCCATGTTAGTTATGTACAACAAAGATCATTTGTATCTATTGCATGGAGTTCCCATGTATAGCAGGGTTTAAGAGTGGTTAGCAATGGACAATCTTATCCCATTATGGCGAGGTTGATTCTTAGACTTGAACTTCTTCTGAGTGGACAGGCATTTGATCAATTTCAGATGAGAGATCTTGAACTTGTACGACGGAGTATTAGATGGTTATTAGTTGTGCAACTAATGCAATGTAAAGCACTCCATTGTATGATTGCAATTACTCTCTAAAGCTACAAAGCCATGTTTTGTATTTGAAATTGGCAGCGATTCGATCTACTGGTACTTGTTCCTCTTCATAATTCGTGTAGGTTCATGTGATCATTTTTCAGATCACGTTCTAATGCATTCGTTGGCGTGGAATTCAAGTAGTATTGGCAAGTTAAAACAAGGTTGGATTGGTGGTCATGGATCCAATTCCTTGCGCCCCCCCCCGGGGGGCGGCTTACATTAAAGAGGAGGAGGATTGTAATACTATTGGCTGCTTAGGCTATGAAGGACCAAACACGTGCATTTGCACCATTGGTCCAATATATAAATTTAGTTTTAATAGATTTGAATTGTAATCTAATTGAAATCTCGACTCAGTTGAATAAATAAATCATTTATGATGTATTATAAATTCAACACGTACAATATGTCAACCAATTCAAACTCGTGTGAACTTATCAGGTATCAATTTAACTCTCAATCATATGGCTCATAAGAGTATTGACCCCTCATATCTACCTAATAAATGAATAAGGTAGGAATTAGGTTAATTTTCACACAACTTATGAAACTTAGACATCTAAGACTACGCAATCCATTGTTAGGGGGTTATAAGATCCATCGAAGTGGGTAACTTTAACCGGATGTGATTGGTAACAAATAAACCCGAAGCCCATTCCCGTTCCTGTGGGAGGAGATGCCAACCATCTCTCCTTTCTACCCATTGTTAACACTGCAAAAATCACCAAAATTAAAGAGAAAAAAACGAAGATAGATGAGGGGTTTCTCCATCAATGGCATGTGGAACTGACAAGGAATGTATGAATTCTCGAGAAGAGAAAAGCCGTGGTGGTCTTTACTTATGCAAACACCAAGGCACAAATTTTAGTGATGTAGTTTTTATTATTATAGTACTTAGCTGGTAAATTGCATGATTATGAAGTACTGTCGCTGTAACATTAAAACTGGACCAAGGCAGAAAGCCATCTTTCAAAGAAAAACACAAATACAACTTTCCATGGCATCCCTAAGTAGGCACCTTGCTGGCAGTGAGGTCAACCCCATCATCAATCCCTTCCCCCAAAATGATAGGCACCATGATAAATTCTGTAGGCTACAGTTAGTTGTTCAGACCTTCGTGGCGGCAGCGGCTTCCTTGATTTGCTCAATGGTGAAAGTGCCAAAGAAATCGTCATCTCCGACTGCATTTACTACTGCATATGCAACATCATCGACACTAACAGGCGGGGCGAGAAGTAAATCAGATGCAGGGAGAGAACTCAGAGGTTTTGAGAAGTTTTCGGTAGCACTCAGAAATCGCTCCAATGGTTTCCCTATCAAATCCAGAGGGATCTCAAAGCCATCCACTCTCCTCTTCCCATATATAAAACCTGGCCTTAGCACAACACCTGTGGAAGTTCAAATTTAGGAACTGCAGACACCAAAATGAGCAGTATCTCAATTGATATAGGTGTCTGTAGGACTTTCATTGATTTAGAATTTTAGATCCTATCCAAGAAAGACACTTTTACTCAATGTTAGATTGTCCGCCATGATTTATGTGGGGCCCATTGTCCGTAGGTGGATCATTATCAATCCATGGTGGCTGATCTATCTTTTAAGGAAAATTGAAGAGTAAAAAAAGACTATTGGATGGGAGTTGAATCTGATTTCCATCTAACTGCAAATTGTACTTTTTAAGACTCCAAGCATAGATCAACATTCTGAGCTAAAACAGTTGATCCAACCACAGTTCCGAAATCATGCTCGATATTATTCTCTTCCAGGACTATTTATGAACTATGGTGCTTTGTTGGGTAGTGCATTAACAATCTTAACAAGCAGCACTCCACAAAAACTATTTGAGATTGTTGCTCCCTTTCTCTTTCAAAACATGATTCCAACACCATGACTGGTTATAAGTCAACTATTGGGGTTCCAAAGAAAAGGATATCGGTCAATAGAAGCTAATCAGGTTTCTGTTTTGAGCTTTAGACATAATCAAGACAGCAATGACACTTTTAAGGAGGTGGGATTATAGAATTCACCATTACATGAATCAAAGAGAAAAAAAGTATTCAAAGATTACCAGAATTTGGATATTTGGAGAGAACCTCTAATTCGGCTTTCCTCTTTCCGGTGAAGTATCCAGATTGAAGTAAAAATGATGGTAGATTATAATCATGCACCGAGATCAGGATGAACTTAGGAACACCTGCAATGTATAAGAGAGAAAGAAGGTTGGCGATTTTAGGTGAGAGATAGTAAATCCCAAACTGAAAATGCATAAGGTCGGAGGAAGTAAAATGAATAAGATCGTGATAAAGCCGTACTTAATAATTTCAATGTAATTCATAATTGCTTTATGAAATTGAATATCCTACTATTTATCAAATAAATAGCACCAAAGAGTATCAATGCGGTGCAACCAGGAAAAAGGGAACTCAGGAGTTGCAAAAGAGAAAATTATAACACCAGGAAAAGATATCACTGAATGCCATATATTCTGTTATTAAATACATCTCAAAGTGATGGGATCATATTGTCTACGACATTCCAGGTAGAATGTTAAGGTGCTAGATAACAGTGATTGCTTTGTGGATATTTAGAGAAGGAACAAAGGTTATACCAAAAAAAATAGGGAGCGATTGGAGGAAAAATCATTTAAAGGTATTTACTTTAGAAGGTAATTCGGTGGGAATCAAGGATCAATAATTCCCTTACCAAAGTCCTTGGCAGCCCTTACTGCCACAACATTCGCCTCGCCATTAATCCTTTGCATCTGCTCCTCGCTACCAAAACCTCCGAGGGTTGAAACAACTGCCGTAGCCCCAACAAGTACTTCATCCCAGTTCACGTAGAAAACATCTCCTGCAAGATATGAAGATGGTTTAAACCATATGCATCCATGGGAAAAAATTATGCATATAAAGCTAGACAAGGCAAAGCTCTAGCAAGTAAAATATATAATGCCCAACATTTTAGCTTGGTTTAGAAGACTTACTCTCACTAGAAGCCCAAAATAAAATGTGATCGAATGCAATCAAGAAATTAGGATAAAGAACAAAAATAATTCTGATTACAAGGTTAGGCTCCATTTTTCTTAGATTTTAGACACCATAAAAAGTGTAATGACAGAATCTTGCCTTCTGAAGGTACTGAGTATTGAATTAAGACAGGGCAGCCTTGTTAATCTACCTTAAATGACTCTGATTCCTTTAACTGTTTCATCATCCTCTTATTTTATCTTCAATTTCTAAGCTCTACTCTCCCCATTTCTTTACCAGGAAGACTACTTTTATTACATTGTTTCATATGTGCTTTAAACAATGAGACAATGCCCAAGCCCTACTTCCACTCAGATCCTGTTCTGTCAATTGTCAACAATTGTAAAACCCTATAACAGATAATCTCTATATCACCACTCTTGAAGCAACAAATGCATACGTATGTTATGTGGCTATGAAATTTATGTGTACATATACTACGATCTGGCCAAAGAGACAATTAACCTAATGGCCATAATTGACATTAAGTTAGCATAGACACCTATGTTTGAAACAGTGAAGCATTTCAAAAATTTGCTGTTCAACATGAATTTAGTTAATTAAGTGTTCCACTTTTTCCAAGCACATTAAGCATTCAGGGTAATCTTCTCTTTAGGTTTGTTATGGGGCAATATTATGTTTTTGGTGATCAATCCACACAGTTCCATTGCATCCATTTGTTGATCAATCCTTTTTTCACTAACTCACTACCTATTGTGGGGAACTCCAAGGCTTCCAACCCCAAAAATCAGACTTGAACAATCACAAAATTTTCTCTGATGTTTTGGGTCAATCAAGACCTTTTGAATGTCAACAAAGCCAAAAGAAGTTAGATGGATAAAAGAGAAGAAATATAATGCGTCATGTTCACAACTCATGTACAAGTAACGTGCACATAACGATGTGCTATGTCCAAAAGTTCTTGTCTAAATATCAAAGACACCAAATCTATGTGCGACAAGCATCCAACAAACAATGTAGTTTGGGCAATATACATATGACAAATAGTACAGTAAATGTTATTATGAAAGCATCTTCAGACTTAAAGAAATTAATATATATATATAAGTATACACTGTAGCAAATGAACAGTGTTATGGTTATTCTATTAAGGTCTGGGTTGTCGACTAACATAACTGGATAACAAAATTCCACATTCCTCACTACCATCTGTGATCACAAACAAGAGGTTAATATTAAAGGCTACAAGCTATCTTGTTGCTGTCTGTATTACTGCAACGGTTAGCCACCAGCTAATCATATTAACGATTGTAGTAAGTTTATCAAATAGGCTTTTGTCACTTTCAGTTATTTTATTTTTAGCAAACAAGTACTTAGTTTATTGGAATCAAAGTAACAATCAAAAGAATTGAGTTTTCGCTGGTCACATAAGATCTACTTGTACAAAGAATCAAAAGTTCAGATAACTCTTTTTTCTTACGATTATTGTTTATTACTAATCAACAAAATAAAGGAGTTAATTTTTCTTTTCATGAAACTAGGCAAAAAAAACTTTCCAAGTGATCTTTTATCACATTAAAAATCACTGAGTCATAACATAGACAATCTATTAAAGGGAGATAGAGAAAAAACCTGCCTGACATCCAAGTAACCTGATCTACCCATGAACCTGAGTAAGAAGGACGACCCGACCTGTGGACATTTTTTAGGGCTTCAGAAAATAAGACTTAATACCCTAAAAGAGAAAGTTGACAAAAATATTTCAATGAAAACGAATTTTACAGACAATGGTTTCCAGTTCATCAAGACGAGTTAATGGCACATTATGAAGGAATACTTAATAAATCAAGTCAAAATCTACATACAGCTACTTGGATCAAACGTTCCCAGACCTGCTTAGGCTTATGACTTCTATACCCTTGGATACTGCAGCCTTGCATATTGCAGAACCAACAAAACCACTTCCTCCTAACACCACAATCTGATAAGAAAAGTATTTTAGTGATGTCTAGTTCTAAAAATAGCATAATTGCAACTTACGTCATAAAATAAAAAAGTTTTGAGGAAAAAATCCCAACTACATACTCGCTCAGTTTTAATATCAGCCATAACATCTATTGTCGCTGAGTTAGAATCCTCCTTCACACCTGCTTCTGCATAACTGCACTTGATACTAACCCTACATGAGCTGTAACCAGAACAAAAACAGTATCAACATAGATCAATCAATAAATCACAATGTGCCAAGACAACAATTAATATCTCATGAATATTTGGTAGAATATTTCACAATTTCATATAAGCCATTATCCTGCTCAAACTAGTTGCCTTGATTCCAACACTACTAATGGCAGTGACTCTAGCAACATGAAAAGTTAGATCATGTCCTGTTCATGTGAGCCATCTAATTTTCAATTAACACAGATGAAAGTGAAAACAACAAGGCACCTGAGTGTCACGGCGTCGACTATACTTTGGATATTTTATACAAAAATTTAGGCAATTAACAAAATTATCCAATGAGCCATACATTAAAATGATAGAAAACCTAACATATGCCATTTTAAGTGATGTTTATATAGAAGTAGACAGCTAATTGAAACTGCATTTTTGTTATGTTATTTCAAATAACTACTCTCAAAAATCAAAACACAACACAACCTATATATGAAGTCCACTAAGTTCTAATACTATATCACTTTCCTTTGGGGAAATTCGTGCATCTATTTCAAGCTTAACTAATTTCTCGACACCGATTGAAACTCCGTAGAAATATCCTATATTAACCACAAGCAATTCAAATCATGTAGATCGTAGAGAGCTTCAACAAAGACAGTGACGATAAATTAAAAAATATATTTCCATCTAGATCTCAAAAGCTTATAAGAAAAACAGTTGTTGAATTTCAGAAGCTCAGAGTGAGAGAGAGGGCTAACCAAGTCTTAGGAAGCAACGAGAAATGCGAGTTCTGAGGAGAGAGAAAAAGAGCTCTATTGAGAGAAGTCGGAGGTGCGAAAATGGCGGCCGAGTACGATACTGAAGCCATTTTTCTCTACTTCTGAAAGGAGAAGAGCTCGGGGATGGGAGAGAGAGATATGTATAATATTTGCGGGAAGTACAAAACTCGTGGGGACGGAAGAAAGCACAAAACCCGCTATATGTATAGTCGGTTGAAGTGAGTGACACTTTCAGAACTCAGACAGACTTTCCGCTGTGGGAAATACTTGAATGGTTGTGGTCATCCATCTCTTTCTTTCCTCCTCTTCTGTTTTTTTTTTTTTTTTTTTTTTTTTTTTTGG